CCCTACCACCCCTCCCACCCCTCCCCCTCCCCTTCCCCCCTTCCCCCCCCCACCCCCTTCCCTTCCCCCACCCTCCCACCCTTCCCTTCCCCACCCTCTCTCTGTCATCTCTCTGGGGCTGCCATCACACCTGAAGTGGGGACCCCAGAGCCCTGCTCTCGGCCAGGCTCTGCATCCTTCCTGTGACCCCCCTCAGCCTTGAAGAACCTCACCTCACCGAGGCTGCTGAGGGCGCAAGGCCCTGTCCTTACACCTGCTCCGGGCGGCCACGTGTCCCCTTCCCCAGGTCTCCAGCCCTGAGAAGCCTGCAGGGGTGATAATCCATGGGCAGGCCTTTCCCGTCCTTCTCCCTCAGACCCTGAAGGCTCGTTTCAGATGAACCCCACAGACCAGTTACTTATCCAAAAAGAGTCTGAAGACCCGTCCCCAGGCAGAGGCCCCGGGGCTCAGACGCCCTTTGCCTGTCCTGGAGGGAGGAGGGAGCACGCGCCTTCCCTCCGGCTGCTCCCATCAAAGGGGCTAGAATCCCTGCTTCCCCCTCCTTGCAGGCCTGGCAGTGGTCTTCCAGGTGGCCCCTCTGCCGCCGTCAGCCGTCAGTCAACCCTCCTCCTGGAGGATGCGCCTGGTGGCAGTCATCCCTGGGGGCTCACCGCGCCAGACACAGGACCCGGCCCTTGAGAGCTGAGTGACGCAGGACGGCAGGGAGGGGGCTGCTGTTCGCCTCATTTCCCGAGGGCCTTAACTGTCTGAGATCTCAGCACGGAAGAGGCAGAGCTGCACACAGCCCAGGCAGGCAACGTGGACCGCATGGCGTTGCCTCTGCCCACCCCCGAACAGCCTGCCCGCTGCAGCCAGAGTGCTTTGCCCGTGGCAGCTCACCGACCCCCGGCAGCTCTTGACCGCGGTACTATTTTTACTCCCCCTGCCCTTTTATGATTAGTTAAGTGATTTGGCCAGGATTCCATCTGGGAAGTGCCTGAGATCTGAGCTGCCCCATGCACCCCCTCTGAGCCAGTCCCCGCCCTGCTGCCTCTGACCACTCAGTGTCTGTTGCCCCCTGAGCCACCCTACCCTGTGGCCACTATCAGGGAAATAAACTTGAAGACACAATCTTCCCCCAACCCAGACTACCTCTCCCCAACGGTAGACAAGAAAGATAAGAGTTTCATTATCGAATGAGCATCAAACCAGAATGCAATGTGCATCTCAGGCCATCCGCCTAGAGATTTGCAGAGACAGAAAGGAATCTCACCCATGATTAGCCAGGGCATTCATACCGGTCCTCGTGATACACTACAATTTGTTCTCAAATAAGAGAACTTGGCTGCACCATTTATGACACACAGGTCACCTGAAATCCACTGGGCCATTGGGGTGACCCTTTGGGTGTATTAATTTTTCTATAAAGGAAAATGGGAACTTCAGTTTCTCCTATCTTTATGACAGGAGGTAATTTTGCAGCTTGGAGCCAGAGGACCACGAAGTTGGGCTCCTCCCCTCCCACGGAAACTGGGAGATAGGCTTTTGTTTTCCATGGATGTTTACATTCCAAAGAGATGGTTCCCAGGACACTCAGAAAGACATTCCTGGGTCAGAAAACCTGCAAAAGTCTTCTTTAGCTTTTCAAAGGATTTGCAGATATTTCAAAGAGATTAGGAAAGAACTACGTTTTCCAAAGTAATTGCTCTAAGGAAAGGGCAGGGCGAGTCTCTTCCATCATGTCTAACAGGGAGAATGAAGTCTCTTCGTTTCCACTTCTGTTTGTCCCTGCACCACTCTGCACCAGGCCAATTTATTGCACTGGCTGCTCCTCCGTGGCCAGTTGCCTCGGCTCTGGCTCCTGCACCCCTACCATGCTCCAGCCTCAAAGTAAGATCTGATCAGGCCCCTCCCTGGCTCTAAACACTCCAGGACCCCCTACTGCCCCAAGAGAGATGCCACAGCCCACATCCCGGAGCTCAAAGCCCACGGGGATACAGCCCCAAGCCACCTTCTGTCCTGGGTCTTCATTTCCCCCTTCGGTATGTGCCCTGGGTGAGCCCAACCCAACCACCCCACTCCCTTCGCCTTGCCTGACTCTGCCCTGGGGTTTTGGTTCTGAGGCTCCTCCTGCCTGGAGAAGCCTTCTGCCCACCCCTGCCAGCTGTGATTCCAAGGCCATCTACCCAGCCTCAGAGTTCCTCCTGCCTACCCCCGCTGTGGGATGTGTTTCCTCCTGCTTGAGGTCTTAGTTCATTCCTTACCCCTCGATTTTTGGTTCAGACCAGGATTTGAATCCTAACCCTGCCACTTCCCATCTGTGGGGCCGGGGACACCTTCCAGAACCCCTGTTTCATTGCCTGTAAAATGGTTATGACAACGGCCACCTCACAGGGCTACCAGGAGGACTGGACTAGGTAAGGTGAGGTGACCCAGCGCCAGGCTAGTTCCCCTTTCTCTTCCCTTAGAGAAGTCCAGGCCTGTGGTAAACGTTCCCTGCACACAGAGAGGGGGTTAGAACTCCATCCGCTCCAGGGCGAAAGCCGGCGCGTCACTGCCGAGAACATAGGACACGCGGGTGGTCCTGCCAGGAAATCTCATCTTCCCTCTTTGCACGCATTGTGACGTTTTTCATTCTAAGTGACTCTTCTGCTTGGGGTGAGTGCTGGCACGCTGGCTTGTAAAACGAGAGGCTCTCGTTCATATTGTATGACGTTCGTGCAGGTGAAACCCGAGTCCCCCACTCATAAATAATCCACTGTTCTTGCCCTCCTCAAAGGATATTTTCCTGCGCAATCTGAAGGCATTGCAGCCACCTCGAAATCTCCAGAAGGTCTGTGTTGCAAACTCACTCAATTGTATTAAGTCTTGGTCCATGAACTATGTATGGGATGGAGCCAACAGCTAAAGGACGGACTGAAAAAAGTTTCAGCTACATTGTCAGAGCCCCCAGCAGCGATGGGTTTGATGTAATGAACGTTGATGTGAAGATCGACACATCCTGGATCTTCCAGGACGCAGACGATAGCGACGAGGAGCAGGGATGTCTTCTGGAAGGAGCAGCCCGAAGCCCAGACCTGGATACGGGAAGGCTCAGGAAGCAGCTGGAATCCTCTGAGCAGAAGCTGTTGGCAGCCGTAGACAAGTACATGATGTCAGAGTCTGGGCTGAGGAGCAGGTAAATATGCCATTTGGACCTCTTCCTTGCACACATAACATGTCCTGGGGTGTCAGGATCGTGTTAGAATGGTGGGCTGAATCGTTTCTACGGCCAGGGTTGCAGGCGAACCTATGGTACATAAGCTGCCCGTCACAGTCCCTGGCCCTCAGTGCCCTCTCTGTCTTTCCCGTCCTCCGCTCTGTGTCACAGGGGCTGAGCCTGTTTCCCAGGCTCCCTTGCTTGCTGGCTTCCAGCTGGGTCCAGCCAATGGGAGGCACAGACGGGAGGAGGAAGGGAGAAGCCAGGGTGCTGTCCCCTCTCTTCTGCGCCGGTGACATCTCCAACCAGGGCTGCAATCCACTCGTGCTTTCAGCTTCCTCTGTGGTCCTGCTCCTGGACCCCAGTATCACCACCTCCTCTCTGCGTGTCCCTCCAGCCCGAGGGGAAGAAGTGGCTCCCAGCAGGTGCTAATCCTGGGTCACCTGTCACCTCTGTCCGGCCTCTCAGCTCTTCTGTCACCTGTGAGGCAGATTCTCTGTATTTGATTCTCACTGCTGAACGGGCCCTGGCGTGCACTCTGTCTCCCTGATGGAACTGACATGGTCCAGGGCATTTGAATCCAGGTCTTTGTCCAAAGCCAGGGCTTTTTTTTGATACCTAGGCCAGCAGAATGAGGTGGGGCCTTGCCTCTATATCAAAGGAGAAGCCCAGCATGGAAATGCAGTGGCGTTATGGCTCGGGGTGGACAGGTTTACCTATCTCCCAGCAGCCACGTGTCTTGGATTTATCTGGGCCTTCACCTTTTTTGTTGTTGTTGTTATTTTCCTTCATTTTAATAAAGGCAAGTCATTCAATGTGTATTTACATGAGCTTTCCTTTTTTTCTCCTCTTTGTAAAACTTTTCACGTGAGGAAATTCACGTATCAGAAACATTCTTTTGTCACTGTGTGTATCAGTCTGTGTGATTGTCCATTCACCCACCCACCCATCCATTCACTGGTTCACCGTACGACCTGCACTTACCTCCCAAGTGTCACACACCGTCGTGTGAGTCCTCTAGGGCTGCCAGAACGAAACCCCACAGACTGAGGGGCTTAAATGACAGACATTTGTTTTCTCACCATCCTGGAGGCTCGACGTCCCAGACCAAGGCGTGGACAGGGCTGGTTCCTTCTGAGACCTCTCTCCTGGGCTCGACGGTGTCTGCCTTCTCTCCGTGTCTTCACACCGGCTTCCTCTGTGCCCACCTGTGCCGTAACCTCCCCTTAGAAGGACAGCACTGTGTTGGATTAGGGCCCACCCTAATGATCTCATTTTAACTTAATTACCTTTGTGAAGACCCTGTCTTCAAATACAGTCACCTGCTAGAGGAGCTGGGGTTAGGACTTCAACATATGAATTTAAGTGGGACATATTCAGCCCGTAATGTAAGTGCTGGGAGTTGAAAGCGGAGGAAGGCGGGGCCCCAGCCCTGGAGAGAGAACAGTATAACCCACACATGGTTGTACATGGCAATGAAAACCAGAAGGTCACCAGGCCTGGGAAAGATGGGTAGGAGACCCCTCCATGTAAGGGAGAGACAGACAGCCCGGGGGGACCATGAGTGGTGAGGAGGAGGGGCCACTGTGGCTGGGGCCTGGGCTGAGGCCGTCCTGGAGGAGGAAATGGGAGCTGTGTCCTCCGTTCTCTGAAGCAGGGAATGCGCCATCCTGCAGAAGTGGGGCTCCTGAAGGGGAGGCCGAATCTGTGGCAGGGGTGGGACAAAAAGGGGTTAAGGCTTATAACAGGGTTCAGTGCTGCCCTCCCACCTAGACCCCTCTCATTGTTCCCTGGGACCCTATGACACACAGCATGATAGGATCCCCTTTTCCAGATGAGGAAACTGAGGCTGGGTGGACAAAATATATTATTCAGGGTCACTGAAGCCAGGGTCTGAACGCACAATTGTGAATATAGATTTCAGGCTAATTTCACCACAAGTGTGGTCTTGTTTGCATATAGTAAAATGTTGGTGGTGTCCATTGGATTTCCCCTCAGTGAAAGAGTTAAAATTTAAAAATAATTGTTGCAAAATGAATGCAACAGCATTGTTAGAAATCTGAGAAAGAGAACCCCACTCCCACCTTCACCCACACTATCATTGTTGCAAATTACTCATCTGAATGCAACAAAATTGATAATGATAGCTTGACCCGTATTTAGCAGACAATCCTTTTAAAAATCCTGAAAACGAAGTGATAGCGTTAGCCTCAATTTCTAGATGGGAAAGGCAAGGTGCTGGCTCGTGACGTGACTTCATGGTCACACACTCAGCCACGCGGGGGCACTGGGACTCGACCCCAGGCAGCCTGCCCTGCAGCGGTCCCTGCAGCCATGAGGCCCTGATTTACCCTGGTAGATGCTCCCCGATGGCATCTCCTAGTTCAGAGCACTCTCTGCAGCTCTGTATGTAATAGATTCTTTTTTACTTGTCATTAATCAGTGAAAAAAATGGTACTTAGTTGTCTAGTTCTTATTAGGGAGTGCATTGCTTTCCTGTGGCTGTTAAGACAAATTGTTACAAACTTAGGGCCTAAAAGGAGCGCACATTCATTTCCTTCCTTTTCTGGAGGCAGAAGTTCTAAAGCAGCCTCACTGGACTACAATCACGCTATGCAGAGGGCTGTGCTCCCTCCAGAGGCTGGAGGGGAAATCTGTGTCTGCCTTTTCCAGCATCTACAGCTGCGTTCCTTGGCTTCTGGCCCCTCCCATCTTCAGGCCAGCAGTGTGCAGTATCTTGCTTCGGTGGATCACATGACCTCTCCTTCTGTGTCAGATCTCCCTCTGCCTCTCATAAGGACAGTCGTAAATTGCAGTGAGGCCCACCCAGATAATCCAAGATCATCTCCTCCATCTCAAGATCTTTACTTTCACATCTGTAGTCTCTTGTACATGTTCAGGGAACATTCCTAGGTTCCAGGGAAATGAGTCATTTTCTGCTTAGTTTAAGAATAGAGATAATACCAGAATTCAATATTGTCTCAGATTTGATGTTTCAGCTTGGTCTGAAAATCTAAGAAGAGAGACTTGTCTTTTCCCATTCAGGTATCAGCCTATTTTATAATCAGTCGGAAGGTGTTCCTCCCAAGTATCTGACTGATTAACACGGGGCCATTCCTCTGGTTCAGTTTGGAAGGAAATTGATTTGAATCTCCACAAGAGGGCACACTCCTTTCTGTCACTTTAGAGACTCCCAGGGACTCAAAAGGAGAGGAGGAGAGGGGACTCTTGGCCTTATTAGTAACAGTACATCATTTTATTTAATCATCACAGGAACCTTCTGAACCAGGTGCAATTACCTTTATTTTACAGATGAAGATACTGAGGGTCATAGTGGTGAATGAGCCCAGTTAAGGCCTTAGTAGACCTCAGTAGGCAGCTGTTCCCACCGGCTCCCAACACTTCCTCAGGATAATAAGGTCTTCAGGTGGCTTATCCATTCCTAACAGTTAGGTGACTTCCAACCTCTCAATTTTGTAAATAATTCAGAGGTGAATTCTTTTACTTGCAGAAACCTTTCTCTGCATTTCAATCGTTTCCTTAGAAGAGATTTGCAAGAATGTAGCTCAAATGGGAGGCAGCAGAACACAGGGTTAAATCGTGAGTTTGAGAGGCAGGCAGCCTGGACTCTATAATGCTGTGTGACCTTGGGCAAGTTGCCCAGCCTCTCTGATCCTCCGTTTCCTCGTTTCCTTGTATGTGAAGTAAGGGGAAGGGAACCCACCTGCAGGCTGAGAATGCGAGGATTCAGTGAGACAGCACAGATGTTTGGTTCAGGCTCAGATCTTCGTTGGTATGACCAAAGATGGGATTACTTATTTAAGGGTGAGGTCACTGTTAAGATTCCTGAAGCCTGGTGCCTTATTATTCAAAAGAGGTCTCTGAATTATTTTAGATCATCTTTTAAAAGACATAGATGAATGTTTTACAAAATGTCATGTTGTCAGAATATCAGAAGAAAAAAAAAGGTTGACTCTGGCATCTGTGAAAACCTCAGGCCATGTTTATAGCATCCTGAGTAAGCGCCTTCCTGCTTCAATGCTGCAGAATTCAGGAGCTGGAGCTGTCAGAGAGGAAACTTCTCCAGAAAGTGGACCAGCTGAGCGGCCGCGTTTTCCAGGAGAGAAGTGCCTCTGTCCGGGCCCAGGAAAAGCTGGAGGCGCTGCAGGGGGAGCTCGCCAGCCAGGTACGCAGTCCCTCCACCTTCTTCCCAGCACTTGCTTCTTGTCCCAGCAGAGCCTCCCCAGACGTTTGGACGTGGCAGCAGCTACCACGGAACCAACAGCAGGGCAGGCCTGGGAGACCCCAGCCAGGAGGGGTGAAAGGGGTCCTCATTCTAACAGTGCAAGCCGGGGCTGCTGGACCTGGGGCAGGGTCACGTGGCCTCCCTGGGCCTCAGCTGCCCCATCTGTAAAATGGGGTCCCCATCTTGCCCTGCTCGCCCCACAGGGCTCTGACCAGGATCCCTGGCAACAGAGGGCGCTCTGGGCGGACTGCAGGGCTGTGCATTCTCTGGGAGCTCTGGGCAGAGGTTCGTTTCTGTCCAACTGGTGCCTGACATCAGGCGTGCCAACTCTGGCCCGAGGACAATGAGATGACTGAGGAGCTGGCTTGCTGGTGGGGACACAGATAGGAAACAAGTCACTCCCAGACTGGATGCTGGGTGACACGAGGGACATGCAGGCACAGTGTGTGTGTGCTTGTGGATGGAAGGCTACAGAGAACTGGGCCATGTGAATTGGGCTTTGCGGGAAGGGCTTTTGAGGATAGATAAGAGCTGGGGCAAAGCACAGAGGTGTGGAAGAGCATACTGAGACCAGGGCAGAGGGTATGCTGGGCAGAAGGAGTTGGTGAGGCAGAAGAGGTCCCGGGAGGACAGATTGCCAGGGCCACGGCATGAACTGAATTCTAGAAGCCAGGTAGAGTAGGACGTAGGGGAACCTTAGCAGGAGAGGCTCAAAGTCAAGATTTGGGGGATCTCACCTAATTGCATGGGTAAGAGATAGTGGAGGTGCTGGTGGGGAGGGGAAGAGGGCCAAGTCAGAGTGCTGTCAGAGAGGAAGTGGGTGGTTAAGGAGGTAGGTTCTAGAAGCAGATGCCTGGAGCCAAACTCCAGCGCTGTCACTCACTAGCTGTGTAACCTAGGCCAAGTGACTTAACCTCTCTGGGCCTCAGTTTCCTCATCTGTGAAATGAGAATGCTAAAGCACCAGCTCCCTTAGATGGCTGTGTAAGTGAGTTAATGATGTATAGCACTCACAACAGAAGGCACTGAGACAACACTAGCTGCTTTCATGTTAGTCTTTATTGAAGTATTCCAGGGGAGAGGTGACGACGGCGGAAGGGGAGGCATGTTTAGGAAATACTGCAGACTTGGCAGGCAGCTTCACGCCTGCACCAGTACGCAAAGATCCCAG